TCGCAAAGGGTCTGCATACCAACACGAGCTCCATATGCATATTCAGGGGCGGATGTCGACCCGTTTGTCCCAGCAGCCACAGCACAAAATACTCCAGCTCAGGCTCTGAGCGTGCACCTTCCAGCTCAGATCTGCTCAGCCGACACAGTACACAGAGTTCTTACTTCTCTCTGTGCTATTTTCTGCTCTTCCCGAGTCATCAGGCAACAGCAGCTAAGCTGGGATCTGGTCTGCCTTGTGCTAGGGACATGATGAAGGAACGAATCCCTGACCTTCATCAAATCTCAGAGGTGTTGTCCCAAGCTTTCCTGAGGCTGGGACTTGACCTCAGATTTCAGCTCCAGCACTTCTGCTGCTGGTGGTGTCAGACCATGCGGGAGATGCTAACTTTTGGGCGAGCAGGGGCCCATTAGTGAAACTGGTCTGTTCTTTGAGCGCTGAAGGAGCAATAAACACAGGTTCCACCCAACCCTTTCAAACAGGTTTTTTTTCAGGGTAAAATGGTTCTTGCAAGGCATGGTGAGGCTTTCCTTTCTTCCGCCCACCCAATAGATATGGAAACCAGGAAATTAAGCATTAGCCTGATTGCATCCCCTTCTACTAGTCCTTGCCATGCTCCCCTACTCACTGCAACCACAATAGGCAAGATCAACCCTTTCTGTCACCGTGCTCCTAAACATCTCTGGAGGAGATGCTCAGGGTTTGAGTAAAGAGCTCCAGTGTATTCACTCTTCTTACCTCAACAGCTATCTTAACACGGGTACTAGGAGAAGAAAGCAAAACTTCCTGATAGACGTTCCAGGGACTCCCTTTCTAAAGCTCCTTAAATAGGAGATGGAGACATTAGCTGACCCGTTTGGAGAAGACTGGAGCCCGGTTTGTCTTCTTGCTCTGGGCTTGGCGTTGCAGTCTTAAGAGCAGGGAGGACTGGGGCTTGGAGGAGGGATGTATGCCATACAAAATGGTAAACTGACCTGGTTCTAGCGCTAAATGAATCCATAAGAGACTGTGTGAACCATAGGGAAATAGCTGGAGTCTGGACGTATTGGCATGGGCTGTACCTGGGTTTATAAGCCCTGCTGTGGGCCGTTTTGCCAGGGTACATCCCTCAGTGATGCACCTGATACTCTCCCTGTTTAAAGGCAGAACTGGCCTCTTCCTGTGCTAAGCCACGCTCACATAGCCACGATGAGCCAAGGGAGACTTGATTTGATTTTTAAACACACTGCCTTCCTAACAATATCCATCTTCCTTTGGTTTCTGTCTGCTTGAAGAGAAATCTTTGATGCTCCCTTTCATAACGGCTCCTCTCAGCATTTAATTTCCTTTTACATAATTATGCACTGGCCGGGAGGAGGAGGAAGACAGAAACACGGAATGGGCATGAAGGAGCTCTAGGAGACCTTGCATCTGAGTCAGGACCGCTGAGCAAGCTCTGCTGCTCGGATCCATCAGCAGCGCCCGGCGCTCAACACGCAGCCCCGAGATGCATGACCGCATCCCTGGCACAGGCAAGGGGGGGGGGGAAGGCAGGGAGAAGGTGCAGTGGGGACCCCAAAAGCTCAGCTGCTTGAGCGTGGCAAGCAAAGAGCCCTCCAGGGCTGGGGAAGGCAGGCGAGGACGTGTGCTGCTTTGGAAGAGAGCGCAGCCTGCTCGGTGTGTGCTGGAGGAACGGAGGAACTGCATAGCTGAAGAAGGGAGGGGGTTGGAAAATGATGCAGCTTGTTCAGTGGATTAGGCAGCCATGCCTGGAAGTGGCAAACTGAAAGAGCCACGGATTTGAAAGCCTAGAGGGATTATTCGGCCGTGCCGGCTGACTTGCAGCACAATGTAGGCCAGCAAACTTCACCCAGTGCTTTCTGTAGCAAGTCCAACAATCTGCATAACGCTCTGGCAAGCCTCTTAGGTTACGATTTATATGTTTTTAGTAGGGTTAATAATGTCGGAAGCAGCAGGAAAAGGGTGCTGGCAAAGGTGAGCATTTCTAGCAGTTGTAGAAAGGCATGTTCATCACGTCAGCACTTTGTAGGCCTGGAGAGCTTATGACGAGAGGTTTCAGAAAAAGACTGCATAAATAGGAGAAGGGAGGCCTCTGTAAACAACTGTGATAGGCATACTTAAAGTACAGAGGGAGGGGAGAGCAGTCCAACTTACTGATGCTGTAGATAGTGGTGACCTTGGTCCAACCAGCAAAATTTAACCCTGAAGAGCTGCCCAGTTCCAGTCTCAGCTCCAAGAAACTCCTCGGGTCTGTCAGAAATGGCATGCCATGAACAGACTGTCTTTGGGAAGCCGTGTGTCATCCCTGTTGCGTGAATTGAGCAGGGGCTGAATAACCCAGCAGCTCATCAGCTGATACCGTGGGTGGTCCTTGGAAAGGACAATTCTCCCTTGAGCTGGTGACCCGCAGGTAGCCAGCGTGCCCATGGGCATGGGCTGGTAGAGCTGCTCAGCCCAGGACCAGGACAGGGACATACACCTCTCAACTGGGGTGGATGCCCCATGCTCAGGACATCACTGCAACAAAGGACATCAGAATTAGCAAATTATTCTTTGTGGTTGCTTCCAAGCCTCTGTTCATCTACCTACCTTTGCAATGACAGCTACACTACAGCATCTCCATCTCTACACAATCCCCTCCAGTGCTGACCCCTCTCTGTTTTCTTTGACTTCCTGAGAACCATGGTACCAATGACTAAACCTTAATTCCTGGGCACTCTTCAGAAAAGGTCCTACAGCGTTTAGCTATTAAAAAAACGCCGTATACTACACTTCACACCACCAGAGCATTGCACAGGCATCGAACCATTTGTCCTCGCAACACAAGTTCAAATCCGGCCAGTTTTATCATCCCATTTGTGTAAAGAGGGAAACTGAGGCAGGGAGTGATTGTGTTTGCCCAGTGCCAACGGCAAACGAATGGCAACACTTGCCATAGCAACAGAGACTGCCTGCCTCCTCCTGATAACACCATCATTTCTTTAGACTGGACTGGGTATGGAAGAGCTGAATCTCATCTTTTCATTGATACTGTTTTTGGTTTTGGGGTTTTTTTTCCTCAGCGGAATAAGCAGAAATTTTACCCAGCGAACGCAGCGCGGAGCTGGAATGAGATTTGTCCAAAGTGGCAGCCCCTTACTCGCCAGGTTGCGTAGGGCGGACGGTTAGCAAAACATCCATCGGCAGCTGAGCATTTTTTTTTAGGGGGGGAGGCCGGGAGGATGGGGAGGGGGGGACGAGGGGGCCACTTACATGGTAATGTTTCTGCACGGTTCTTTTGGATCATTATGCAGAGCTGTAGCACCAGTTGAGGGGCGCTCTCGAGGAAAGTTTCCAGGAGGCGCAACATATTTACGTCTGCATATTCGTACATCATAGCCCAGTAGAAACGCCGCTGGTGTTCCTTCCGCCGCTGGCTCTGGATCCCCAGGTACATAGTTCGGATATACCTGCAGGAAACAGGAGGAAAAGCTGAGTGTGAGACTTTGGCACACATCAAAACCTGAGAAGGATGGGGTTGTGGTCCTCTCCCGTATGGGGAGAGGGAGGTTGTCTGGGGGAAAGGGAATCTGGGGGAGACACAGGGATCTACGCAGTCCTAACATTATCTCCTGAACCACTTTTGTATTGCAGGAGTAGGAAACCTTTGAATTGCACCACCCAAAGATGAAGCCTGGGGGTAGGAAATGCTCACAAAACCCTTGCACAAGAAAACAACTCTGTCACTTTGTTTTCGTGATGAGAAGAGGAGAAGTTACTTGACAAATACCGGTCATGGTACTCGGCAGTGGCTTGACAGTTGTCTAAGCCTCTTCAGCAGTCTAGTAAGGAGTTTCCCTCACAGACCCCAGAGATTTGACCCCATTTCATCCCAGGTGGAGCAATGAGACACCACCTGCACCTTCAGCACACGTGTGACCCACAAACGCAAAAGGCCACAGCTTCCCACTGCTCAGCTGTTGAGGCTTTGGGCAATGTTGGACTAGAAGGAGGTGTCTTGTGCATGGACAAGTACTGCTCTACCGTTGCCTCTGTTTCCACATCACATGTGCAAGGAGACCTGCAAACCTCACCCTGGGGACACAACTTCCCTTCAGGGAACGTTTGGCCAACCTTTGTAAACGGAGCTGATCAAGTCAGGGTAGCACGAGGTGCCCAGAGGTCACAGGACTCATCGCATTTAAGAAAGGACGCATCTCAAAACTGGGTGCTTTGTCATGCTTGCTGATACTAATGATCGAATATTGGGTCTTTTTCCTTCACATCCTGAGTGGTGGCTGTTAACCTTGTGCTCTGAAATCTGGGATGGGAATCGTTTCACCTAACGTTGACGCTAAAGCTGGTCATCTGAGCTAGTCAATGGATAGAAATGTCCCCTCCTGGGACCGTTCATCTGTCCCACCTCAGATGCCAGCATGACAGTGGGACGAAGTGCCTTCTGGAGGCTCTGGGAGGGGCTCACAGCACAAACTGGGGTTTCGCCAAAACGATTAGATCATTCCTTGTCACTCGGGGCGAGATTGCACAGAAAGGAAGAGCAGGAGGAAAGGACATAAGCCTCGACAGCCTCTGCATCTCCAAATTACACCCTGGGACAGGGAGCTGGGAGAGAAGCAGAGGTACCTCTGCAAGCCCTGCCCTTTCTGAAGCCCCTGGTCCTTCCTCCCCGTTCTCATTTCACAAGTACAGAAGACGAAAAATCCCGAAAGAAGACCCAAGGACACAAAAAATGACTCAGGAAAGCCACCAGATGGGGCTCCACACTCGAGAAAATGCTACGCCAGTCACATACGACACTGGTGACACTGGTGTGACATCCCCAGCGGAGCCCAAGTGGGGTGGAAATGCCCGTGGACCACCCGCTCTCCCACGAACACCGGTCCTCCTCCCACTCCCCAACATGCCCAAGGCCACCGCTTGTACTCGGCATTTCCCTGCAAGACCCATCCCCAGAAGCTGCAGGATGACACAGGAATCCTGCCTTCCCGTCGCGCATCCAAGAAATTCAATAAACGTAGTTTAGCAGGAAAGGCAAAGTGGGGGAGCGTGAGTTGTAAGGCTCAAGGAGAAAGCAAAGAAAAGGAGCACGCGACTGGTTTTTATAATATCATCGACACAGGGCCACCGAAAACCAAGGCGGTGCTGCCCATAAGGTGCTGCCCATGGGCAAAGGCAGCATCACCTCTGCCAAACTCTTTCCAGAGAGATATTCACCAAATCTGTCTTGTAGTCTTCCACGGCCTCCCCTTCCCAGGAGTTCCCATTCCTACTACTACATGAAAACTAAACTCCTCTTCTGAAGTTTAAACCACTGATTCCTCATCATCCTGGCTACAGACAAGGAGAAGAATTCATTCATTTTCACCCTGCAGCAGTCTTTTCCCTGTTTGCACGTAGTTACCATGTAAACCCTCAGTCTGCTTTTCTCCAGACTGAAAAAACCCACAATTTCTTTCAGTCCCTTCTCACGGCTCACATTTGCTAGACCTCTACTCTTCCACATTGCCCTCCCCAGCAGCTATCTCCAGTTTTTATTTATTGTTAAGACTGTCTTTCCTTTTCCAAGCACCCCAGGTTGGCAGAATCAAACTGTAACAATGGCATTGAGTCACTCAAAAAGATGAAGAAGAAACTAACAGAAGGGACACCACATCCTGCAATGATTTCTCCTTGATCTCCAGGGATTCACCACCATCCACACAGTTTAAGCATGAATGTTTCTAACTGGCCACAGTGTGAGGCCATGCCACCTCTTCACGGAGGCAGCATGCATAAAAGGACATAAAAGTGCATTGCATAAATATAATGTCCTGGTCCTGTCTCCATCAATGGCCAGAGCAACGGCAATGACAGTAACACCAAAGTCTCTTGGCTGTCGAGCCCACAGCCTTTTGCAAAGGTCGACTGTATTGTGCCCCTTCCATAGATGGGGAAACTGAGTCACGGAGCACCAAAAGGGTTCTCCCAAAGTCTTCTGGTAGCAGAACCCAGATCTTTTAGTGCTGACCCAGCCTCTAAACACCACAACACAAGCCCATGAGTGGACTCATGATGGTCCTCCACCCGGGGTGCACATAATTCCTTGACACCGTAAAGCCCAGACCTGCCCAATCTGATCTGTACTGGAAGAGCCAGAAGGACAAATCTGTCCCTATCCAACTGTCACATGGGACTGTGACCTTGGGAATCTCTTGGCATAATTTTGGCCAGCAAAAGGTCACAGCCTCCTACATGAACAGCGTGTGAGCAAAAGAGCTCCAAGGACCATTTGCAGCTGAAGGGAAACAAACTTCCCTTTGCACTCTCTTTTTGGTCCGTGCAAAAATATGGCGGTCTCTCTTTAGCATCCTTCAGACCCAAATCTGACAAAGAGAGGCAAGAGAGGAGTAAAAACCTGTTTCTCCTTGACACCAGTCGATTGGGAGTTTTCAGCAGAGAAAATGTGAGAGTAACTGGGAAAAGCAGTGTTTCTACCTGGTAGGCTTTCAACAGCTAATACCTGCCCAATTAATCAATATAAAATTTCACCCAGCTGTAACATCGGTAATGCTTAATCCTGTATCCAAACACAAATGTACAGCACTGCTGTAAGGAGTTTTATTCCAGTATATCTGTTTCTTCTTTGTGGTATTTTATTTACTTGTTTGAGGGCTTTTTTCTACCTTTACTAGCACAGGTTAAGTGTAGACAAACTCTGAAGAAAAAAAAAAAAAAATCAATGTCATTTCACCTGAAATTTGTTGTTCTCGGTCAAGCTCGTAGCAAACAGGATTCTATAATTAGACTTTCAAATCCATATTCAGGCCTGATCTTCAATCTTTAGCAACACGATGCTTCCTCTTATGTCAGTGAAAGCCATTCACCACTCTATGCTTTTCAAAATCAGGCTAATTTATTTATTTAAGAGCTTAATTTTGGATACAGGAGCCTAACTTGGGCTTTTTATTTTTTGACTGCTGGCTATTTTTATATACGAATGTGTGTATTTGTGTGTATGCTTGTATTTTTAGTTCTAAGTCCCATCATGGCTTCAAGAGACAGAACTAATTTGGGGGTGGGAGGGGGATTCAGGGCGATTTTCTTTAAATGCACAAAGGATTGGCCGTCCCCTCCGTTCTGGCAGGGTTCCCAGAATTCCTGTTGGTATAATTACCCTCACGCTTATTTACTACGTATGTCGCAGTAGCACACAAACTGCGTGGGACAAAGTCACTGCTGTGCCTGCGCCAAAACACGTTTTTAAGGAGCCAAAGCCATCGGCTCCAGAAACGTGGTCAAAAAACCTATGGAGAGAGCCCCAGGATGCCAGTAGGAGGGAGAAGAGGAGATGCTCCTACTGTAAAAAAAAATAAAATCCACACCCTAAGAGCTATGGAAAAAGATGCTTCATGTGGATGACAGAGGTTGCTCAGCAGTCTCGGCAAGGACTGTAGCACAAATGTCAAGAGAGAGGATTATGGAGTCAGAGGCTCTGTCTGTACCATTAAACAAAGCAGACCAAAGACCAGCCTTTGTCCTTGGCTAGCTGGCACGACTCCACTCCACGTGGCTACGTCCATGCTAGTCGGCCTTGGCCAATATTGCCAGCGACTCTGCTGACAATTTAACAGGGTGAACTATTACAGGATCATGCCTGTGCCTTGGCACTGTTCAATTTACAGAGGTGGCTCTGAATAGCACCAGCAGAAAGCGTAGGAGGATGCCTCAGGCAACAGGCTGGCTTGAAATGAAGAGGATGCTGTGTAAGAGGGTTGCAAGAGCATGGAAAGGCACGTCAGCACAGGCCCTGGGCTACGTTTTAAGGAAAGAGGAGTCCTGATGGCCTGTCCCACACAACCACAAGCTGGCCAACGTCAGGAATCTCAGACTATATTTACAATAGTCGACAAAGGACGGGGGCCTGATCACTTTTCCTGAGGCCAATGGGCGAAGACTGACCACAGAAATGAACTCTCTCATCCTCCAAAACCGGGTAGCTTCCTTCATACTCTGTCTTGAGAACAATCTCTGACCCCTGTGGAGTCCTGAACGCTGCCCAGGTTATGATTACTTGGGAGAGTGTTAGTAAGCCTTGCCCAATCTAGTGATTACACTAAAAATTTAGCAGCATGATGAAGTTACAGTCCCCACGAGCAGGCTTTGAATTGCCTAGTTTACTGGTATAGGTACATGGAAAGATGGAAAGGAATAGGATCTGGGGTACCCATACCACTCCCGACAACTCCAGGTTGGGAAAATCTTCTTGACCAAGCACAACCAACAGCTGCTTTCCAAGAAGCAAATCCTGGCTTGTAAAATGGGAGAGCATGCTTGAGAAGCCAGAAACAGACCTCCAGGTAAGAAGAAGCTCAGAAAATTAACTCTGCTGAGTAGGTCGCAACTTACACCTGCAGGACCTTACACACCCCTCTGGATGAGTAAGGATTTATCAAGACCTGGAGGGCAACAG